AGTGGAAATATAAAACCATACATGAGCAATGATGTCATTGGATACATGATCGAATGATGTTGATGATAAATCAGAACTTGGCGGCTTGTCCAGCTAATAACCTCCATTTTTAGCTCTTTTTCGAAAAGTTATTGCAATAAAACTACAAACACGTGTAAGAAATGTTAAAACAATGGCAGGGCGGTTTTCTAGACCTGTGGTGACAATTTCTCAGCAGAACAGTCGTTTTGTAGGCATTTTCACCATTTTTTAGTAAAACACTTTCATGAGCTGGTACGCTCAGATTGGCTTCTATATGTGGAGGGCTACAACATCACTAGCGGATAAAAAGTTCCAAAATGCTAAGTACGTTCTCAGGAAAATGTGTAAAAAGGTGGTTTTTTCCGAAAAGTAGGCCTTTTTTGTAAATCATTTTTCCTCCATAAAATTACATCAACACAAGACAAAAAAATGTGCATTCCAGGCGTCTTCTCAAGTTCTATCCGATAAAGAGATTGGCATTGCTATTATACAACATCTAATGATAGAAAAAAACAGCTCTTAAAGGCGATTTTCCTCTTTTTTCAAAGTTTGAGTACATGCCGCATCATTCTGCGGGGTTACAGGACGTGGGATGACATATACCTCGCATGTACCTGACGTGAGCTAGTAGAAAAACAGGTTTTTTTCTTTGGCCAAGTACTTTCAAAATAGATGAGAATCCTGTGGTGTTTTCGCTGGAAAAATACTGTTTCGTGAAAGTAAAGACCGCCATGCCATTGTTTTGAAATTTCTTAGACGTGATATCCGTGATCAGGAGCCCGTGTTGTACTAGTCCTATTACTATCGGGCAATCCAAACAAAGTCGATGTAAACGTGGTACGTTCTCGAAAGAATCACACTGTATTCGATGTAGTGTATGCGGCACCCGGTGGTCCTAAGAGAATTTTGGACAAACGACGGAAGTAAATGACAGTCGAGTGCCTGTCAACATAAAGAAGGTATTTTTATTTGAATGTAAGAGTTGTAATACAAAATTAATGAATTTTGAATTTCTGAAAAACTTCTCGCAATGGTTCCCAATTTAAATCTGCAAGAACTCTCCCCTTAGAAGTGTACGTCATTGCACCTGATGCCGCACGAGCTGCTTTATACTGCGCTGATTCTAGTCTGTCAAGGTTCTTGCCTGTCGTATTTCCGTATATGGCTGTCGCATAAATAAGCAAATTTAAAATAATTGACTTATAGACAGTCTAACGCACTTGTATGAAGCTTTAAAAGACCAGTTAAATGATTCACTTTGTTTAACACATGATCAACGTGTGCTGTCCGGTCAAGATTATACTTTAGCACCAAACCTAGATGTGTCTGTTCCGCGACATTAGGAATAGCTGAATTATTGATCAAAACAGGTGGCAATGAAGCGAGAGTCTCCTGTACCGGAGTAGAAAAAACCATAGCTTTACATTTATCAATATTCAAATGTATATTCGAAGTTATAGACCATTCGTACTTAAATGAAGAGCAAATCTTTATGTGCTGGATCTATTCCTTTTCACATCATTTTTCTTTGTTACACGGTAGAGAGATGCAGCATCACCAAAAAGCCACATTGCAGAACCAGTTTTTATTACACAGACTAATTCTATTTCAGAAAATAATAACTGGAAAAACACCTTCCTTTATGAAGACATTGTTGCCTTCACGCCCGGATCCCCTACTGCCTTTTCTTAGTAAACTATCAAAACTCCGGCACTGTCAGCCTCTAGCCGCATGTGTTTCGTCAAATAAAGACCAGTCCGAGCTCTCCACAATGTTTCATTACTGGAAAATCTGGGTGCTACGAACAGCCCCATTTTGGCCACTGTTGTCGCGACATCTCTGTTGGATAGACAGCTGGCAAACCAGTTTACTAAAGACGGTAGTAGCCCGCTTGCCGTTAACTTTGTTAAGAGTCCTTTGTGCCAGACGGTACCAAATGCTTTCCGAAAATCAAGAAAGACACTCAAAACCCGCTCACTATTCTCAAAAGCTAACAGGATTTCATGCACTATCGCTATATACTCTAGTGTTTGAAAAATTTAAAACTTAGTTAAAACTAATCAAATAGTTATAAAAATAGCTTGACTCGTGTAACTTGATACGCTCTATAAAATGGCTGATGTGAAAATTCCAAATTCGATTAAAAACTTTCATGGTCTGGTTTTCTAGAAAGCTCACTTGGTTTTAGAGGGAAGTTTAAAAGATCCCAAAAGTCCCACTATGGCTCATGATAGTACACTTCGTGTACTCCAACACGGGATCATCTACTGTAAAAGGACAAAAGCATGTCTGGAGGTCGCGGTTGTGTGAATTTGTAGTAGACACTATCTAGTAGTCAGCATAGATTTCTTAAGTCTAGGTAATGTGTCGTTACAGAGTTGTACGTAGTCTAAATTGACAGTTTCTTTAGATAAGGGAATTTGTGCGTTTTCGGGTACTTTGCAAAAATTGAATATCTCAGCAACGAAACAACCTTAGGACCGTCGATTTTCGCCAAAATTCATGAAAATGTTTGTTCTTCCACTATGTTGGAAGAAATCTGAGATGGTCGATTGAGCACGTTAGATCGCGGCTTATGTGAGCTTAGGACATCGAGATCGAAATTTTCCGCTAAATCCATTGAAGTGATAGCGTGATGGAATCCTAATGGTTCTTTTAATGCTTTTATAAAATCAAGTTGTTCAGATGTTACAAACGTATGCAGAAGATATTTATTCCACTGCTCATCCTTTGCCCATGTCCTCCAACCGACGTGTTTTAATTTAAATTCGCTTGATACAAGTCTGGTAATTCAGTTGATGGGGATTTACTTTTACATGTTAGACAAGTGCTATTCACACACATTAAGTTGGTATCAGAGCACACAATCTTCTGTATAAAATCGCTCGATGTTATTAATTGTCGTGTACTTAAAAATGCCTAAAATAATACAACCAACTTTTGAAGTGAACTTTCTTCACCAGACTTATAATATAGTTCCCAAGTTCTGAAGTTCTCATGGTACGAGCATACGCAAATATTATGTTTGATGGATAGCTTGACCCATTTTGGTCTTAGGCTAAAATAATTTGTGTGGCCAATTTTTATATTTTGTAATTCCTGTAAAAATTATTAAGAGACAATTTCTGAATCCATCGAGAAAATCAATGAAATCTTCGAAAAATAAAATTCTTTTTATCTATGATTCTTGGATGCTCAATTCAAAGTTGCCTATAAGTCCAAGTTTTTAACTGTTGGAAACTTTTCCTTGTTGAGAAAAGAATTTTTTGAAAAAGGTACCAAGAAATTTTCTTCCAAAATTGAACAATCCCGTAACAATCCTGTTCTTATAATTGTAACGGCATTACCACACATTCAATTCTTTAAACTTGTGCATCATTTGAATCAGTGCAAAAAGCTGAACAAAACCTGATATTGTTCAGAGTTTAAAAGAAATTTTTCGTTGTTGAAAAGAGTTAACCAAAGTATCATTAGAAAAAATTGATTTTGTTAGTAAAATAATCATTATGACAGCAAATTCCGTTGGCGCAGAACAATTTTTAGTACATCTTGCAAAGAAATGCACTATAGTACAGTGAAATACAACCTTCGCAACAGACCGAAAAATGCTCAACAATGACTGCCATTAGCATTAGTGTAAAATCATGAAAATCGTTCGAAAGATATTTTGAGTGCTATAAAGTCATGTTTCATCACAAACACGCAAAAACATGTCAAGAAAGGTGTTTATGAATATGTACGATGTTAATAGTCGGCTGTAGAAAACAAGTAGTAAATAATTGTAGTGTATGTTATTAATCATCGAATTTTTGTGCGTTTGTTTTTTGTTTTTGATGATGATGATGATGAACGTTTCTTTTTATCGAGTTGTGGTGTTGAAAATCCGAAACGTTTCGGCGGATCAGAATGTTTTGGATTACAAAGCTGTTTCGTGCTTTTTAATTGTCGTTTTTCAAACACCTCCTCGACGGCCTGACCATCCTTGAGTTCATCTTCATCTTCTTCGTCACATCCGACGACTTTTTGCAGTTGCTTTTGACGTTGGGATTTGATACAAGAGAAAAACAATCTCATTTGTCCTGGTTTTAGGAATTCATCGCCACCGAATAGAAGACGAATATTTCTGTCCATTGCATGTTCCATTGGGTGAAGTGAGTTAATAAAATATCATGATAATTAAAAAATACATTCACGATGCACGAAGATGCATGTATGTCCAAATTGTATTTTAAGTTGTTTTTGTTTGTCTGGTACTAGACGCGAGTCAGACATTTATGTGTCTTGAAAAGTCATTTTTAAATCACCGCCTTTGTTGCTGTAATGTCTCGATTAGACACCATTAAAACGCCAGTTAGTCTCCAGATTAAACATCTTGCCTGCACTGGTAAGATATTTTTGTCCGTGTCCGTAGTCCTGTCCAAGGTGCTCGCCCGTGGATTTTTTTCGCTGTCCATTCTCGTCCGTGCCGAAAAACACATATTTTCTCTATGATGTGCCACAGGAGTGATGTTTTCTTTTTTGTAAAATCTCTACCTCTCCAAGAAAACAGTTGCTTGTACATGCCACAGACAGTACAGACATGTCCGCGGCCACGGGAATTTCCGTGCCTGTGTAGATCTCTACTCCAGATACCAGCTACTATCAAGACATATAATAACCTTTATGTTTCGGTTAGACAAAGAATCACATCTGTGCCACCAAAAACGCATCGAGACAATAGATAAACAATCACGCATCATGATGTCTGGCTGAGATACTTCTGCCAGGAGAGAAAGGAGAAGTAACATCTGCACGTTTTGCTATTTTAAGCTCCAGTTGTTTGAACTATTAATAGATAAATCTGGGTTTACAGCCACTTTTTCACTACAGAAAAGTCCAACGCTGAAAACTTGTAGCAAAATATCCAACGAAAAACTATAGTTTGTTCAGTTTTTCATTGGCTATTTTTCTATATCAAGCTTTACCGTAACTTCGTAACCTCCCCACACTGTGCATCCAGGCGGATATTAGGCGAAAAATTAGAATGCGACTTTTAACTAATTCAAATAGCGATCCATATACTTCAAGACATGCCCTATCCGATAGCACAAACAATTTTGTTCCAACTGCTGTAGATTGCAAAAAACATTTCCCAAATTAGCTAAAACACGGAGGTGCGACGAAAAACAATGTTGTGTGATAAAATGAATGTCCTCAAAAACCATCAAGTCGCAGGTTGTTCAGACTTTTACAGAACGTTCATCTAGGTGTGCTCCATGTATGGTGATTGCATAAACATGCATAAATGCTCCTGGACCGAATGACAGGTTTCTCAAAAAACCATCGCGTTTTCAGGTGTTTTCAATTTATCTCGATACTGAAATGTTTCCATTCAATAAGAATGACATATTCAGAATCGCCGCAAGAAACTGCATTAAATGGTGTGCGATTAATAGGTTTTTAAAGCAGCAAAACTAGTTGCATCTAACGAAACGCTAAAGTCGAAGCACACCTTAACAATTTCGGCTAAGGATTTTGATATTTCCTATAGAAGCGAGCGGAAAGCCTGCAAACACTTTTTTATAGGTTTTCAGATATGCTCTTTCCAATGCTGTGTCATATAAAGTTACAGAATACTTATCTGCGGGTTTTCTGGAGACCCGGCCTCCGGAGAACTTAGATGAAAGTCTCTTTAGGTTAGATTTTGAACAGAATCGTTTTTGTTACGTACCGATATGCTTTATATACCTTCTTACACAAGTTATTTTAATAGTTTTTTAGTTTCCATAAGGTTATAATGGCACATATGCACTTAAAAATGTGTAAAATCGTTTTCTCTACAAAAGCTGATCAAGGTTAAGTCGAAACAGCAGTGAGCTAAAATCAAGGAAAAACCGGCCCCCCTTCTTTGCTTCGAGCACGGAAAAAGCAGAAGCAAATGAAACGTTGAATAGAACTGATACTTAAAAGTCAACTATGATTGATAAATTACGACTAAAATGAAATAATAATGAATATCAAATTAACTGATTCATGATTAATAACGTGATTCAAACTTATTTGACAATGATGATGATTTTAATTTCTTTAATAATTAAGTTAATAAAACGTATAGCTTTAATAATCGTAGTTCCACAGTGGAGTATCTTTTATCAAAAAATACTTGATCTATGAGAATGTTGTGAGTTGCCCGTTTGTTGGATATTTTTGTATGCAATGACGGGTAAGATTGTTACACACCGCATTTCATTTTGTTTTATTAGAAAGAATGAAATGGACATTTGAACGATAAATATAGCAATCAATCTTTTTCTGACTTTATTTCTTGTTAAAAGGCGTAATTCTGAATTATATGAAGAATAAGACAAAGTCATGTATATTTATATTTTACTTAATAATCACTGTTATGGTTTTCTTGATTCTCACACTGTATACTTGTACAAAATCACAATAAACATAAGGTGCACGCAATTCGAAACTTAAGCAAATTTCTTTCTTCGATATTTATACATGGTTCGATGCAGCTTCTGGAGCGGAATCTGAATATGTGTGTTACAAGGCTTCAAATCAAGTTTTTAGGGGCAAAAACTCGAAATTCTCGGGTTTTTATAAATTTGCTATTTCTCGAAAATGAATGGAGAACTCGAACATCTTATCTTACAGAACCTTGAACATTTTATTTTCATGTTCTTCGTCGAAAACTACATTAGGAAAATATGTTTTTAAAGTTTCATAAATGTAGGATGGCCGAAAAAAATTTCGCTTTATCGCAGATGGTCAGAATCCGCTCATGTCGGTGCAAAAAGCATCGAGTCTGTTAAGACAAGAGATGAACCAGAAATTTTACCACCATTACTCTCGTCCTCAATGTGTGTAGAAAGTCATGTGCCCTTTTCCTTTGAATATTTCTTTTTGTTGAGATACAGGTATTTCTTTGACGATATCTTCAATCGGGCAAGCCATTCTCGGATAAAATTTACAGTTTAGAAATAAAATTAGTCAAACTAATCCGAAACAGGTAAAATCTGATGCTGAATCTAATGGTGACATTCATAGAATGTCTGGCAGATTTTTAGGAGTTCTCTGCACTACTCACTGAGATCTACAAGATAAAAGTAGTCTGCGTCTTAAAAGCGATTTATAACTTTAAGAGGTTTCTTCGTTAGTATCATCTTTCGTCACTTTTAGGTAAAATATAATATGTAGGCACGTTATTATGTGAAAGCCGATCTTGACGTCATATGACCTTAGACTTTCAGTCAAAGAAATCACGTAGTACAGAAAATATCCAAATGGCAAAAGTGATGATGCTGTTAGAAAATATCACATAACTGATCACTTTACTCAGTGATGCGTGACTGCATCATATTTAACTCCCACAGTATGCGTCATATACTTCGTTAGTTTATTCCTCCTTTTACCTTATATAAATGTCTGTTGATTCATAAACACAAACGACAATAACTTAAAAACAAAATTGGTAAGTAAAATGTAAATGAATCTGTAGTGTTTATATTAATGATTGTTAAGTTTGATCAAATCCGGTTTCATCCAACTCCGAATACAATTATAGAATATTGTCATTGACACATGTCTCCAAAACTTATAGAAAGTAAAATAAACTCATGTGCAAATTTAAAGAGTTTTACAACTAATTTCGCAAAGGTCTGTGCAGTCGATAAGTTTGTCACGACGCTCACGAAATCGGACGGGTTTCGATCAGAGCATAGTCGTTTTTTTCTTTACAACTTTATTCTCGATTTATAATAGATAAACGCATGAGGCTTTTTTTTTTTATGACCGGCTAATCGGTCGGTCACTGCTCATGACGATTGGAGGGAAAATTGCGATTTTCTAGTGTATAATCGTGATATATTCCATGGCTATGAGCTGTGACTTACCGATTAGCCGATCATAAAAGAAAACCTCATGGGAAGATGTATCGGGTTGAGCAACGAAAATGACACCACTTTAGAACTCATCCGTTGGCTAGTCATTTCAAAGCTTCATTCTGAGCTTAAGAGAGGCAGAATTTTATCTAGATTCTAGTGTTGTATTTAGATTAAGATGTACCTTAATTGTCTTTTCACTGTACTCAAAATGACACAAATCTCAAAAATCTCAGCTATTAGAGTCTAAAAAAAACAGCTATACATCTTTTCTTTTTCGATATTCTATTTCTATGATATTCTATTTCCTAGTATAAATTGAACCCGAGCCGACATCAGCTTCCCCGGTTTCTAAGAGGGTAAAAAAAGAGAGGAAGGGGGGGAAACTAAAAAGAAAAATACCAAACGTTCTTCTCAACCTTCGTTTTGGGAAAGTAGCATTTAGTATTTACCGTTTATTATTTAAACCAAGAAACGTATAGAGCTCCAAGATGCCTTATTTTATAGAGAAAAGTTTGCTTAACAATTCTAGATGTTCCATAGCCCTGCACATGCTATCATTAAAACACTTTTTTTGTCACATTTCTCTCTATGTTAATGATTTTAGATACACAAATATATAAAAGAAAATGACCGGCTACGATCAATTATTAAAACAATGTCAATTAGAATTATGTTTAGAAAAAATGATGAAACCTGTTAATTCAGATAAAATTTGTTGTCTAACACGATTACTTGCCCATTATTATACAGTGACAAATGATTTTAATCGTTCATTAAAATATTATAAAAAATCTATAAATTTAATTATTTTAACAACAAATGATAATAATGAAATTGCTGATATACATCATACGATTGGTTTAATTTATTATCATAAAAAACAACAGTATAATTTAGCTGTTAAATATTTTAAAAATGAATTAAATATATATGAATTAAATTTTAATGATGATAAACTTCAATTGGCTGAATTATATAATTTAATTGGTTCTTGCTATTTAAAACAGAATAAATATATTTTAGCATTAAAGTACTATGAAAGTTGTTTGTTCTTATACACTCAATGTTCACCATTATTCAATTGCATACCTATTTACAAACTATTGGCCACTTTATACTTCCAAAATCGAGAATATAATTCAGCAATTAAATATTATCAAAAATTAGTAATAAATACTGACAATGATAATGTTACTGAATTAAATTATTATTATACAAATATTGCCATATGTTATTACAAGAAAAAAAATAGTAATTTAGCAATAAAATATTATGAAAAAAGTTTATTATTATCAACAGATATATTTGAACGTGGTAATATTTACTATTCATTAGGTGATATCTATTGTGAACAAGTTAAATATCATTTAGCAATTAAATACTTTAAAATGGCTTTAACAACATTACGTAATAAATTAAATTGTTCAATTATTCATCGTAAAATTGGATATTGTTATTATTCTATTGATGAATATGATTTATCAATTGATCATTGTAAAAAATCATTGATAATACAAGAAGATGATGATGATACTATCCATACAATGTATTACATAATAGCTTTTTGTTATGAAATGAAAAATGAATTTGATCAAGCATTAGAATATTATAAAAAATGCTTAGAAATAAAAAAAGAATTTCATTTATCTATATTAAATATTTTAGATTCAATTGCGTGTATCTGTTATAGAAAAAAAGAATATAATAATGCTATTTACTATTGGGTAAAAATGTTACTACAAGATGATTGGAAAGATAAAGGTAAATTTTAAGTAAAAGTAATATCTTTCCAAAATTTATGATAGAATATCAATCCAAACACTAACATCAGTCTAATTACAGCACACTTCGTCAAGAATTTTGTCTTAGCTGGGTGCCATCTATTTGACGAGATAACAGGCATTGCTCACCAGTCTTTTCATTTAAACTACTCAATAGATAAGAATAACATTGAAAGTTTTTGCCTGGGGTGTGTTCTCTTCCAGAGTTTTGACTTTTACTGGTGTACGAAATTTTGGTATAAACCTGACTATGAGAGAACGACAGAACTTTTTATATCAAAGTGTAGAAACAAATTAGAGAACAGATAATAACAATAGTCACATACTTTCAAAAAAAAGAGGAATTTGAAAAAACTCATCAAGACAACTAGAATTCTGACTTAAATGCTCAGATATGTTTCAAAAACCCTTTTGAATTCTTAAGTATCTTCCTTATAGGAACATTTTCTAAAGCTCTAGTTTTCAATATGAAAGATTATTATAGCCTTTTCAAATATTGTGTAAAATTAATTCACATTTGTGCATTAATGAAATTTGCATGAAAAATGTGAAATAATTTTACACAATATTTGAAAAGGCTATAATAATCTTTCATATTGAAAACTAGAGCTTTAAAAAATGTTCCTATAAGGAAGATACTTAAGAAT